TTAATATACTTGTAAAAACATTTTTTGTGAACCGATGAAGATGATAAATGATATGGGTAGGCATAGGATCAAGGCAATGTTGGTTAGATTGTGTGGTTCCTTTAGTAAGGGTATGTATCCAACATAATGGTTCTTGTAAACAACTCTGTGCTGCCCCCTGATTTTTCATACGTGACGGGCGAATTGATTTTGTAAAAGGGAGATTAATGCGGTAAAAAGATTACTAGGCAAGCAGGTGTGGAGATGGCTTTCTAGTGTAAAGTTCAGCCCTGGGAATGTTTATGCATTTAGATAAAAAGGTAAATGTAATGAAGAGCGGCATGCCTAGGGAAGTAGTTAAGGCAAGGGCGTGTGATTGGGGTGGAATGCCTCAAGTTTGCTTTCTTTTGGTGGGAGGAAGGACAGGAAGATTAGATAATGGTGATACCAGTTGAGGTGGAAGACAGTCAAAGCACTTGGAGTATGAGATTCTGAAAGTATTTTAGACAGTTTTGAAGGGAAAAGTGGTACTGGAAAGCTTTTGGTTAATGGTTTGTTACTGGCAATCACAAGTCGTAGTTCACCTGTCTTTTATCAACTCCTCCAGTAAATAGCATTCTAAAAGGTGACTAATAGATATAATTTACCTTCAGAAGCTAGTAGAGAACCAGGTTGTTATATTTATATTTGTTATATTTGTTTTATATATATTAAGTAGTAGTGTGGTAGTAAGGCACTGCTTTGGAATGTGGTGAATGCCTACCACTTCATGCAGAGTTGGAGTTTGACTCCAGGTTTTCAGTTTTTTGGGAGTGGATGCTGTAATAACTAGATGATTGCATTCAAGTTAAAAGCTGCCAGTGCACTTCTTGAGCAAGAGAAAAGATACAGCAGCCTTCTGTGAGGGGCATAAGCTTCTCTGTGTTAGAGGAGAAAGGAATTGTGAGGCTATGAGAGCGTACGCCAGTCTGGGCATATCAGGGAATTTGGTGGAGTATCTTTGCTTTTCTGGATCCTTATCAATCACTGACAGCTGCTGTGTGTGGAATTGTTCAGACTGATGTTGTCCTGACACAGAAGCAGAATTACAGAGCATCAAAAGCTTTCATGTCAAGTACAGTAATGTAGAGTAAACTTGGGTGCCTCCAGGGTTAGGCAGAATTTGAGATTACAGGTTTACAGAAGGTACACATCATTCACCAAGTCTTGGTTTGCTTTGACGCCACAAGCTTATTGGATCTAATCCAATTTTGTGAGTCTTGCTGCTTGTTTATCTTACATTTGAGCTTTGTGATTAGCTTTTGGGGCATTTTGAATAATACCAGTTCTTTGTCTTGCATAAATAAGTAAAAGATATTCTAGATCATTTAAACTTCTATAATGGAGAACTATTTTGGTGATTCATAAGTATAGGTTAACTTGACTAACTTTAAGGCTCTTATGCTATAGCATGTTACCAGCTGGTTGAAAAGGAAGGTAGATTTTACTAGAAGCTTTTGGATGACTGATCAACTACTTATTTTAGAAACTTTTTCCCCTGCAGTAGAACTGTATCAAATTATATATGTATTTAATGTTGCAGGGAGTAGAAGACATGAGGGAGCATAAAGTAGCTGCATCTCAGGGAAATGGAAAACTCATAAATAAATAAAATTTTAAAAACAGCAAAAAAAAAAGCCAAACACACACAAAAACTGGGTAGACTAATAGCAAAATAGGGGGTTGTCTCATGTGTCCAGTAAAACATTTGAAACCTTTTAATTCTCCATTGAGAGACACCTAAACTACCTACGTGTCCTGTACTTTTCATTGTACGGGCTTTAAACAGATGTATCCCAAGATGTGAATGGTTTGAAGTCAGAATTATTTTTGTATTATAAACTCCTGATTGTGTGAATTAGACAAAAGAGCAAAAACATAAGTGGGAGTCAGGATACTCGGCAGAAAACCTGCAAGTGTGCTGTACTGCTCACAGATGTCTCGCGTGGCACCAGCATCGGTGATGAAACCCTTCTCACCATCAAGATGTTTTAGATCTGTGAGCCAAAATTCTTGTGTTTTCTCACACACTTCTATTTCATACCTTCTGTTTTACTAGGGTAGAAATACAGTTGGAGTATAAACTCATTCTTCTAACAAAAAAACCCAGTAAATTTCTTTTTTCCCCCACTTCTCTCAGTATCGTTCCTTTCATTCACATTCTAGTTGTCATTACCACAGGATCTAAGGATTTACTACCTTCCACGAATCTGAAGGACTCTAGCATGTATCTAACCAACATGAACTCATGTTCAGCATGAGTTAATTAACTGTCCTGTATGTTGATTATCTGTTGTAGCATACATGGCAGTCATATTGCATATGTTAAAGGCATATTTGCCCATTCTATGCTCAGGAGGTGAAAGTAACTTTCATGTTTTTGGGCCTTCTTGTATGCTTTAATGAAATATTCTTAATAACTTTTACTCTTGTTTTATCCTTAGGCCAGAGTAAATTCTGAGCAGGAGCACTTCCTCATTGTACCTTTTGGACTCCTCTATAGTGAAGTCACTGCATCTAGTCTGGTAAGCAATTACTGTTTTTCACAGCTGTAAAATACGAATAGCTGAATCTGCTCTGTCTGTATATCTGTCAGTGTTTAAATTCTGTCCTAGAGGATATTTTACTGTTACATGTTTAGAAAAGTTTTATTGAACGTGGTTGGTTTTGGTACAGCTGAGGTATCTTTGAGAGAGATTTCTTTGCACGTGTTCGGCACCAGGTGTCCTCCAGTTGATCTAGCTGTAGAGGAGGAGCCGGGTCATTTGGATAGCTAATCACATCATGCCCTTGAAAGCTGTTGGCTGTTGAGTCAGGCTTGTCGAGGGAAACAGTATGTGTTTCAAACATAAATGATGAAACCAATTACAATTTCAAGACATTATGTCAGATACCTGATTTAGTTGCTATCATTTAATGATGTAAGTAGCTGAGGGTGTAGATAAATTATGTTTGAGATCTAATGGTTGCAGTTGAAGACACAACTCCCTTAGCTGTTAGCTAGTGGGAAGCATTTTCTGAGCGTTTATCTCCAGTCTAGTCTACACTGCTGCTGAAGGCAATTTGAGTTAATGTTAAAGAGTTGACTCTCTTGCGTTGAAACAAAATAGAAACTTTTACACTCTTCTTTCCACCTGGCCACCGTAAGGTAAGTAACCTCTAGCAGAAAGGTGAGGTAAGTATGTTCAGAGTAGTAACATTTCAAACTTGTGTTGCTCTTGACACCTTAAGGTCCCAATACTCCCCCTCAGCTATCTGTAAAGTTGGCTCTTTCATACGTAACTCCACCTTAACCATCTGTAAAATTTTAATTGAAAAAGCTATAGGAAAAGGAATGGAGAAAACTGAGACCTGCCCTTTCTTGTTACTACAAGATTTTTTAGAAGAGTGTAAGGGCCATGCTGTGAGGTGTTTTGTGTGTTTGGGGTTTTTTTTTTTTTAAGGTTTTCTGCTTTTATACCAGGAATGTAAGTACCTTGAGAATGAAGGTTGCATGAAGGTAGTGAAGTGCACACACATACAGAGTAGAGAGCATGTTCACACAGAAAATAGCTAACAGCAGGATTTAATGAGAAGATAGACTACAGTGATAAGGCATATAGCTGAGCCGGATGAGCATGCTGACCAGCAGCCTGATTACACGACTGGCCCTTTATCGCCCCTTTCTCTCCATTTCTCCCATGCTTGTTCTTCCCTTCTCCACTTTGAAACTCCATTTTCTCCGATCTTGTTCTCCCAAATAAACAACCCATGCATAATTACTTTTTCCCTTTTATTCCAGTTTTGCTTACATCCATATCCAAATTTGATATTTATGATATTACTACCTTAGCCTTACATAGTATCAGTGGTATGGTTACCTAGGTGCTGGCATTTCAAGAACCTACTCCCCAAAAGGTCCCAATACTCCTCTTCAGGTATCTGTAAAGTTTGGAAGTTTCTTATATAACTCCACCGTGTGAACTGCAGCCATTTGTCATAGCACTGTCTGAAACTTTTGTCAGCTTCTTGCACCGTTACCTGTTACATGCAGCAATTTCTCATGTCATATCCAGTAGTTCCTGATGTCCTCTTCAGATAGCTTAATCTCAAGCCGGGACCCTGGTCACATACCTACAGCTTATAGTGCACGTTTTGACACTTGTTAAAATAAAATATTGAAAGAAATAGGGTTTTAGAGCTTCAGTCGTAGATGCTGAATTAAATCAGGTTTTTGGCAGTCTTAATTGATTTATGAAACTAATTCTTTTCGTTCCCAGGTTAAAATCAATATTCAGGGAGATGTAGTTGATCGTGGAAGCACTAACCTGGGAGTAAACCAAGCTGGTTTTACTTTGCACTCTGCAATTTATGCAGCTCGACCTGATGTTAAATGCATTGTTCATATTCATACGCCAGCAGGGGCAGCGGTAAGCACTTTCTAGTTTGTCATCTGTCCTGTTTCCCCCACCCCACCCAACTGGAAAATAGGTGGGTCCCCCTTAATCATAAATTTGCTTCCTTTTTGTAGGGCACAAAGCCCTTAAGTCTGCCTTCAAATATGTGGTTCTGTTTGAATCAATCAGATTCTCCTTACTTGGTTGTTACATGAGTGGTCAGACAGTAAATTGAGCTCTGTAATTGGAAAATACGTATTTCATATTTGTGTGTTCCTTACCACAAAAGACCATATCTTTTGACAGTGAGGCATAAGAGCTTTAGCTATTTTGTTGGTTCTGTAAAGCATAATTTATCAAGGTTTTCTTAAATATTTGAAACTTTTCCAATACATCTCATTAGAGCAACAGGTTACAAATCAGTTTCACCTTTTTAGAGTTTGAGAAAGTCATCTGGTGACTATTTCAAAGTTCACATTCTAATTTTTGGTTTTTTCCTTTTTAACTGATTAACAGCAGTGATACAACCATTTTAAGGATAAGTGATCAGATTCCTAAAACTGTGACTTACAGAGTCTTTAAAAATATTCCTTAACTTTATTTGCACTGCTGCGGAATTATCTGTGTCAAAGTTCGTCACTAAATTCCTTCTTTTTTGGCAGGGGTAGTAACTGAGTGGAGTGAAAGGAACGAAGGATGCAGTTGAATTTGGGGTTTGGTGGAGTTTTTTTCTTCTGAGTCTTTTCATACTGGTGTTGATGTTGTATAAAAGCAGCCATTCTTGAGTCAGACCCAAGATCAATGTGACTTTTTTATCCAATCCAAAAGTTGTGAAAAATAGAGGCTTTAGGGATGGAGTATAAGACCACTTGTATGTGCCTATACACAGACACATACATGTAATGTATAAAAATTTTTTTTTTAATTATCATTTTTATCATTACAATCTTTTAATTTTTTTCCATTTTTTTTCTGTTGCAAGAAATTAAGTTAGTTGTTTTAATACTTCTCAGGTTTCTGCAATGAAGTGTGGTCTCTTGCCGATTTCACCTGAAGCACTTTCTCTGGGGGAAGTAGCTTATCATGACTACCATGGTATTTTAGTGGATGATGAAGAAAAGGTGGTTATTCAGAAAAATTTGGGGCCTAAAAGTAAGGTCAGTATCTGTATCTGGAATTAAAGAAGAGTGTGGGGGGTGGGGTGGGGGAGGTATGTTCTTTAATCAAGAGCAAGAAAACTCTTGCCTTACTGCTGTTAACTTTCTTTGCAATGTCTCTCCAGGTCCTTATTCTCAGAAACCATGGCTTAGTATCAGTTGGAGAGACTGTTGAGGAGGCTTTCTACTATATTCATAATCTAGTGCTTGCCTGTGAGATTCAAGTAAGAATTTTAGTATGTTATGTAATAATACATGCTGCTATGTTAACCTTCAAACAGATTAATAGTTGCACACTTTACTGGTTAAACTGTTGATTTAAACTAACATGGTGATCTGTGAAATCATTATATTACGCGAGGACATCCAAAACATTGGTTTAACCAGCAATATTCAAATCCTGTATTGGAACCATTGATTTGCTATATACTGCCTATTAAAACAGAGAGATTTTCAAAGCCTTAAGACAACTTTTATACAAGTATGTTAATTTATTTAGCTTTAAAATGAAGTAGACTTCTTCTGTTTTGCTGATGTCAATTTTTGGGGTTTTTTTGGGGGGTTCCCCCCCACCCCAAGAAACTAAAAGATAACTTTATTGTTTTTAAGGTACGTACCCTGGCCAGTGCAGGTGGACCTGACAATTTAGTGCTTTTAGATCCCGGAAAGTATAAAGCCAAGTCTCGTTCCCCTGAGTCTCCAGCAGGTGAGGGTACTGTATCCCATCCAAAATGGCAGATTGGCGAACAGGAATTTGAAGCTCTTATGCGAATGCTCGATAATCTGGTAAGGCAGGTGTTTTTGTCTAATTGTTTCATATGATAATGTACAAAATACTTTAAAAGCTGCAATAAGAGACATTAGTAAAGAATGGGCTGCATGTAGTGGGGTAGTTTATACAGCCTGCAGCCTGTTCTTTCCCAAAGATTAAGGGCCCTCAGAGGAGGAGACAGTATGAAAAGCATCACAGAATTCTTCAGGTGTCCTTTGTGCAGATAGCAGATTTACTTCCGTATTCATAATCTGGTAGTTATCGGTGAGATCAGAAGGGATACTTGTGTGATTTGGCACTTCCAAATGAGAGTAGTGTGGTGCTTGCTACTCCTTAGTCTGTGTCCTCCCCTCTGTTGCCCATCCCCTCCCAAAATGTGTAAAACAGCATTAATGTTGTGTCAGGTGCAGGGTCCAGCATGATTTGACCTTGTAAGACTCTAATAGAACCTGGAAGAACTCAGAAGACAGACTTAAAATAAATAAATAAAAGTCTTCAGATGAAATGGTTTCAGTAAAATCCCATCTGTAATGAGTGACCAGCTACCAGCATTTGCTATCCAGCTTTAATGGGAAAGATGATACCTTTCCTGTGAGAAGGCTCCAAGTGGTCACTGTAGACAGTGGTAATGAACATATTAAAAAATATGGCTCCTGTAATAATCAGACATAGTCTTCTGATTTGTGATTTAATTAATCTTTTTCCTTTGTAGACTTTGTGTGGTCTTCATGGTCATGTGATGCATGTGCCCCTGACAGGATCCACTGATGATATCTTAAAACACCACCACCACATCTACTATGTAGTAAATAACTTGGGTTTTTTCCCCTTAAAGCAGTGTCCTGTCTGTAGTATTGAAAAAAAAAAAAATTCAGGCTACTGCATTAATAATTTGAATATCTAATGTTTTCATATCAGACAAAGTGATCAGCTATAACTTTAAGTCAATAGAAAAATTCTCATTGATTTTAACGAGCAATAATGAGACTATTAACATAGTTGGCTATGGACAGCAGACTCTGTGTCACCTGGTACCTTTGGTAGATTCAGTTAGATTTCAGTTTCTCTAGGGAATATCAGTTTTATGTTTCTTACTGCAAACAGGAAGGAGGATCACAAAGGAAATGGCATTGTACCCGCTAGGAACGTAGGAATAAAAAGGAGCTTTCAGTCATCCAATACAGGCCCTTACTATTACAAATAGCCACATGTTATATTGGATAGTTAACTACATTAGGTGGTAAATAGTTATACAAGATGCACTTTGATCATTAAAAGATGGAGCAGCAGCCAAGACAATGTCTCAGCAGCGCTTAATGGGCTGAAGTTTCTTTACAACTGGCTTTATCTGTAAAGAATTTGAGTACTTTTGGGGGTACGCTATTCACACTGTTTTTCTTTGACCCACATTGAAAATACTTTGCTAGTGGAAGCCTCTTAGAGAAACTGTTAAATGTCCTTTTTGTATGTTAAATGCTGAGCAAAATACAGAAGAAAGCAGGAGAAAACACGACTAGTGTATTAGGGAAGGTAAAAAGGGAAACAAAATATAATTCAGGGGAAGTAGGAGAGAAAAACAACATAGGTAGAGAAGATCAGGGAGAGGAGAGAATATGGACATAAAAGTAGCATTCTTGAGCCTTCCCTTGTATATAATATGCTGAATTCTAGATGTTAGAATGCAGAAGAGATCTTTTTATCTGCCCTACGTTTTGTATCATACGGGTGCTTTTTTATGTCCTCGATTTAGGATGGTGAGAAACAGTCAATACATTTGATTGGAGTAAAAAAAAAAGTGTAAATGAGTAGCTGGAATATGGTACAAAGAAAAGTCATTTGGACTTAAATCCAGCTCCAGAGACTTGAACTATTACTTGAGAATTCAATGAGAAATACCAGGAAACACCAATAGACCAGGGCAGGACTGATAATTTAACCAATAGCTATCCCTAAAATGTACATTTTCATTTGTGTGGTTACAACAATCCACCTTCATTGTTTTGAATGTTAGAGTCAAAATCTTTCCTAAAGTATAATTTACAAAACTTTAGTTCAGAAATTTCCTGGGGAAAGTACATTCTTAAGACTTTTACAGTGCATAAATTTATGGTTATACCTTCTGTGCCGATATGATAGAGCACTAAATTAGATTCCCCAGTAGCTTGCTATAACACAGTGAATTGATTAAATGCAGGCTGGCAAGTAACTGTCTACTTATTAATGGTATAATATCTATTTGAATACGTACTTTCATCCTGAAGGGAACTGAAATTTTCATGCACGAGTCCCCCATTTTAAAATGCAGACATTGGGAGGAGAGTAGTTTGATGAACAGTAAT